CAATGACAAAATCCTTTGTTCTGTAACTTTAAAACCAATTTGTCTCTACCAACTTCCATGCCTATGAAAATGCAGAAATCCTCTCTAAACCTGGGTAGAATGTAGTCACATGGGTCACAAGCCCACAGCTTCTATGATGAACAGAATCTCTGATCTAATGGAGATGCAGCAGCATTTGGCTCTCCTTTATATACATATATTTTAGCTCCTTCTGACCCCAAGAGTTCATAGAAAGCTGCCTGGAAACTACTGACTTAGTTTCTGAGCAAATGCCAGCAGTGGCTGATGTGTAATCAGTGAAAAGAGATAAATTAGATTAAACAGTGGCCAGGGAAAGGTGGCCTCAGCAGCATGTGTGGGAGGGTTGCTAAATGAAGCTACTTCTCTTTATGTCATGGATGCAAATGCTGCTGGAGTTAAAACCAGTCTTCTTCCAGCAGTAAACCCAAGACCAAAGCACTGCCAAGACTGTCTGTACTCTCATGATTGCAGTCCTGGCTGGGCTGTGTACAGACTCCAACACATGATGCCAATGCAATGTTTGCATAAAGATAAAACAGATTCTTTTATGTCACACTTAAGAGCAACAAACATTCTAGAAAGCTGGATCAGATTATAAAGATTCACATTATTTAAACATTATTTTAATTATGGCCCCTGCTCACTGAGTCCTGAGTTCTTTATCACATTAAGTTTACCAAGACTACTGACAATGTTTTGTCACTAACTAAAGCAAAGCCAGATCAGTTGCAGGTGCAAGTTGACAACCACACTTTTCAGATAAAGGAATCCATAACCTAGACACAAACAAGGATTATTCTTGCTTATATCTCAGTAACTGAAGTTTCCAAATACCAATTTAGAAATACTTAAAACATCTGCAAGACAGGCACATGGATTAACAAAACACACATCTGATAACCTAGGCCTTCTTTTAGAAAGCACAGAAACAAAGCATTGAAGTGGTTACTTGTTATCCTGCACAGGGTGCAGCCTCAAAACCCAGAGGGCACAGCCTGTCCTTGATACAAAGAACTTGTTTGTATCTTGAACACCCGTCTCTGTTAGGGTGCCACAAATCACACTTACCTTATCATTCTCATGCTTTTCAGCTGAAGGATGAAAGGGTGGAATGGACCAACTGTAGGGATAGTCATCACTGTAATTGGATGAAACCCCTGGAATGGATAAAGATATTAAGAATGCTCTAATAGTTCACTGAACAAGGAAAAGCTCAGACACAAGTTTAACTTGTCTTCAATTGTTTTTTTTTTTAATATGTTAAATTAAGAGACATTTCAAATGAATCTTTGACAACTGAGGAAAAGATAAACTTTCTGACTTTTATTTCTTGGTTAAGACAGATATTCTTCCCTGAAATACACCTTGTACTAGTGAGGGACATATAAGCCTGTTGAAGAATCTTACTTCAGGGAACACGGAAAAAAAAAAAAAAAAAAAAAAAAAAACCCACCCCCAAAAAAAAAAAAAAAAAAAAAAAAAAAAACCAAACCCCCCCCCCAAAAAAAAAAAAAAAAACACCCAGGATTAATAACAGTCTTCATGTATATTCTAGGATAAGGAACTGCCAAAAAGAGGATCAGTATTACAGTATTTTTCAACTCAGTAGTGTTATTGCTTTTTAACTAGTGAATTAATTTCCTACTGAACCTGAAGCATTAGTCATATCCTGATCCAGACTCGCAGCCTATTAGGAGACATGAAGCATGTACAGGAAGAAATAAGCCAACAAATAATTTCATTTTCAGCAGATACCTAACTTCCAGATGTATTTTTAGAATGTACAACATCTATTCCCACAATTCCCAGATAAGATGTGAAAACATCCATTAGATAAAAGTAATCTAATACATTCATCTCTAATGCCTTAAGACTTAATGACAACCACTGTAAAATCTGGCTTATGATTATGATTTAGGTTCTTAATATAGAAGAGAATCACACATCAATACTCATTTACGTTTGTGAGACTATACACATCAAGCATTTCTGTGTTAAGCAATGACAATTCAAGCCATACCAGGATGAAAAACTTTCCCCACAGATAGGGTCACGTAGCCATTTTCCTTGAAATACTGGGGCATGGTGGAATAGTTTCCTGCATGAACTCTCCAGTAGGAGTAGAAATCATAGAGCCGGGTGGTGTCAGGCCTGCGGCCAGTGAGAAATGACACTCTGCTGGGAGCACACACAGCTTGCTGAGGAGAAAGGAGCCAAGGAGAGACATTTGGGACAAAAACCAAACCACACATATCAACTACCTTGGGCATAGTGATGTCTTAAGTTTTAGCTTTCATATTTTCCAGATTCTGTATTGCATTAGTATGTAACTCTGAATTTCATGTAAAGAGTTAGCAAGTTCTCTTCACAGTTTAGTTAGACAAAACAATCCTTTTCCAGCCTGAGAACCAAGGACACCATTGCAGCTCCAGGACCAACAATAAAACTAATGTAAGTATAGAGCACTTATATAAACAGTATAAACAGCAGTGAATTGAGGAGGGCAAATTGGGAGGATGGGACTTCATAACCTGAAGCTGTAATTGGACAATTAACTCCAAAATGTAAATGGACCAAAACTTATAAAAGTGTGAAAAGTTATGACCCATCGTCCATTTTGGGTGCAGCCTCAGCTGGGCTCTTGCACTGCCCAAGTTATATCCTTTGAAGGCCTTTTTTATAAATACCTACTTTATTCCTTCAACACTGTCTAGCCTCTCTTCTAGGTAGCCTCTCAAGGCATTGATAGCTGCATCACAATCATCTGAAAACTCGGGAATCACAGGGAATGAATTTCACATCACCTCAGGCTGGAATGAACTCTTATTAAGAGTATCAATTCCAAATGGCAAGCTTTTTAAAAAGTAAGTCAAGTTTCATAAAGGCAGTGCTTTTGAAATCTGGTTGCTCACATCACACACAATTAAGCAGCAGTGGCAGGTCGACTGCGCTGATAAAAGCCAAAAGTGTAGTTGATCTGGACTGCCTTAAGAATAAAGAAAGGATAAGCACAGGAGGTCTGGGTTACGGTCCAAAGGTCTGACAAATTCTGCCTCAAAAAACTGACAAAACTCAAGGGTTGGAATTAGACCCAAACTTCTAATTTCTCAGCAGAGAGGAACTTGGGAATGTAGATATCCTATGCAGAGTATTCAAGTGAAGAGCAATTAGTGATGTTTTCAGTTCTCTATTTTAGACTGATGCGTACCACACAAACTGCTCCTTTATAGCAGTCTATAGAATTGATTCCCTCAAAAGACTAAAAAATAAAACAATCTTTTGTAAGTAGTAGAAAAAGAGAATTTTAATTTAGTAAAATGGTATTTTTAAGCAGCACTTGGCTGCAAATAGTGAAAACGTTTGAGCAGCAATCTACTCCTCCAAGGGCTACACAAATACCATAATTTAAATGCCCTGTTTTCATTTTTATCACCTTAGTAAAGATAGGTTCAAACACTACAGTTCAGCCCAATCATTTATTTTCTACTGAAAATACTTCAAGTTAATAAATACTTGCTGTTTCCAGTGGTCTGCCTAACACCTACTGTGATAAAACTAGTAATTATTTTGCATAGAGAAAACATGTTTAAGTCGTTTATCTCACCTGGGCATATGCATTGCTGAACACCATACTTTGGGAAGCAAGTTGATCAATGTTAGGAGATTTCACAAGTTTATCTCCGTAGCAGCCTAACACAGGACGCAGATCATCCACAATTATAAACAAGACATTCATGCCATCTATGAAGAAACAGAAATAAATTAACCTCCAACCAATAAATTAACCTGAGCAGTTACTTTATGCTGATATCAGTTTTTAACCCTCAAACACATTTGAGGACAAAAGTAAAATTTAAAAAATGAGCAAAAATATCTTTGCAAGAGAATGTAAACAATGCAATTAATTCTTTAAAGACAGAAATTCTTATTTGTCCTAGACAGAAATACAGTAGTTTTCATTCCCTTCCTATTTCATTGCTTGCAACGACGGTATTTTCTCCAGTCGCTATAGACGGCAAGTCCTTGCAGCTGGCTAAAGTAAAAATAAAGATGTCTTTTATAGATCTACCTAGTACCGAATTCTACAGCCTGCAAGCTTGGGCAAGGGTATTAAACCACAGTTAAACAACACGGTAGTCCTGTGTAGCTCTGTTCCCAACAGATAAAAAATGTTTCCTCAATTGATGACACACGTCTTTTAAAACGCCCTCTCAAGGTGGAGGACTGTCCTGGGGGCTCGACGTGCGCAGGACCCGCTCGCCGCCGGCGGCTGAAGCAGCAACCTCCCCGGGGACACACCGGGACCCCGGGACACACCGGGACCCCGGGACACATCGATCCCCCCGGGACACACCGGGACCCCGGGGACACACCGGGACCCCGGGGACACATCGATCCCCCCGGGACACACCGGGACCCCGGGGACACACCGATCCCCCGGGGACACACCGGGACCCCGGGGACACAGCGATCCCCCCGGGACACAGCGATCCCCCCGGGACACAGCGATCCCCCCGGGACACAGCGATTCCCCGGGGACACAGCGATCCCCCCGGGACACAGCGATCCCCCGGGACACAGCGATCCCCCCGGGACACAGCGATTCCCCGGGACACAGCGATCCCCCCGGGGACACAGCGATCCCCCCGGGACACAGCGATCCCCCGGGACACAGCGATTCCCCGGGACACACCGATCCCCCGGGAAACAGCGATCCCCCCGGGGACACAGCGATCCCCCCGGGGACACAGCGATCCCCCCGGACACAGCGATCCCCCCGGGGACACAGCGATCCCCTCGGCCCGGGCTCCCGCCGGCCGCTCCCCCAGCCCAGCCCCCGCCGCCAGAACGAACCCCCGGGCCCGCGCCCGGCTCCGGGCCCCGCCGCCGCCGGGCCGGCCGCGAAGGCATCCCGGGGCAGCCGCAGGAGGAGCAGGAACAGGCACAGGAACAGGCACGGGCACAGCCGCGCCGCCGCCATGTCCCGGCGAGGCGGCGGGGCCCGGCAGAGCGGCCCGGGGGCGGTGTCGTGAGCCGCCGCCGAGCCCGAGCCCCGCCGGCCGCGGCGCTTCCCCTTCCCCGCGCGGGGGCGCCGCGGCCCCGCGAGCGAGCGGCGCTCGGAGCGGTGCGGGGCCCGGAGCGGGGCTCGGAGCGGTGCGGGACCCGGAGCGGCGCTCGGAGCGGTGCGGGGCCCGGAGCGGCGCTCGGAGCGGTGCGGGGCCCGGAGCGGTGCGGGACCCGGAGCGGTGCGGGGCCGGGAGCGGTGCGGGGCCCGGAGCGGTGCGGGGCCCGGAGCGGTGCGGGGCCCGGAGCGGTGCGGAGCGAGAAGCGGTGCGGGGCTCGGAGCGGTGCGGGGCCCGGAGCGGTGCGGGGCTCGGAGCGGTGCGGGGCTGGGAGCGGTGCGGGCCGGGAGCGGTGCGGGGCCGGGAGCGGTGCGGGGCTCGGAGCGGTGCGGGGCCGGGAGCGGTGCGGGGCCCGGAGCGGTGCGGGACCCGGAGCGGTGCGGGGCCGGGAGCGGTGCGGGGCCCGGAGCGGTGCGGGGCCGGGAGCGGTGCGGGGCCGGGAGCGGTGCGGGGCCCGGAGCGGTGCGGGGCCGGGAGCGGTGCGGGGCTCGGAGCGGTGCGGGGCCGGGAGCGGTGGGAGCGGTGCGGGGCCCGGAGCGGTGGGAGCGGTGCGGGGCTCGGAGCAGTGCAGGGCGAGGAGTGGTGCGAGGCTGGGAGCCTCAGGATTGCATTGGTTGCTCTTTCTTATCAAAAGTAAAAGTTCTGAGACAAAAATTCTCTCTTTTGTCACTTTTTCATCACAAAGAATGGGATAGAAAATAACCTGCTTTTCTGCTCTGTAAAGATTCATACCTGAGGCCTGAAATATGCTGTGTATGCACTCACCATAAGATGACCAGGAATGATGGCTGCAATGGTCTGTCACAATGCTATTGTTCAGTGAGATGTGTGACTCAAAAGTGCAGTACATTGTGTATTACACAGTGTGTGCATTCATATTCAAGCACGTGTACTTCCTCTAAACTAGTACAGTGAAGTTTATTTTGATGTGGATCTTACACTTCCTTCCTGCACACGCTGGAAAAGCTTGAATCAAATGAAGAACACTGTTGCTACAAGTTCAGCTACTACTGAGCATGTGACATGCAATCAACTCATGAATATTATTCAGTATATATTTGATGTTTGCATATTTTGGAATTAATGTTGTGTATAAGCAGTATATCTCACAGGTATCAGCAACTCTCCTAACATGGATCAGCTGCTGGAAATGTATTGAACATTGCATCCCCAAGTGACACTTCTCTTCATTTGTAGACTTTTTATGCAAAAAGCCAAGGAATTATTTCACTATTGCACATGCATTTAATTACCATAATGCTTGCCTCTTTCAAATGCAAATACACTAAGTGGTACTTGATATGAATTTCCTGGTTTGCCTAGCATGAGTATATAGCAATCTTATTAAGTTCAGTCCAATAGAAGAACAAATTACAGAGAAAAAGTCTTTTCCACACAGCACAAAAGTTCTGGTGCTAAAAAGCAAGTTGGGATGCTGCCAGTGAATAATTGCAGACACTGAAATCACAGACCTTGGACAAACTGGTCTCACAGCTCAGATGTCCCCTCCACCCCGGATGTATGGGCCTTTGAGCAGCCTGTTGTTCAGCTCCTGGACTAAACCACTGCTGGATTCAGTGTGATGAACTGGGAGTGTCACAGGAAAGGTTAAACCTAGACCTTGGCTGAAGTGGCAATACCTTGTACAGTACTCCTCCTTAGTCACTCTCCTGGAAGTCCCAGGGTGAATGTCAGCCTTCTCCACCTAACACCACCACTGAGGATCAAATCCATTTTAATCTTAGTAATATGCCAAGGCATATACCAAAGGTTTTGGGGGTCTACCACAGTGCTTGCACAAGTGTTAGTAATGTAGGTGAGGCCACCAACATTAACAGCTAAATATCTTAAAATCAACTATTTTCACATATTAAGCCATGGTAAAAATACAGCACAGCAATATTTTTAGTGGGAAAAATCCTATTCATAGGATTCTGTAAGAATGGCTGTACTATCAGACCCATAGCAGATCTTACAAAGTATCATTTCCATGCCTGGGTACACTCTCCAATAAGGTTTCCTCTGACAAGGAAGAGTGTTTTGAGACTGTGAATATGATCAGGCAATATATAATAGCCCTGGTTCTTGAGCTCTGCCTAGTAAGGACATCCTGACTCTTCACATGTGAAACCTGCCCTGGCACATGTTCTCCAGTGATTACACCAGCAGTGGCATTTGGCACAAAAGCAAGTCTAAGGAATTTTTATGCATCACTCAGTAATTCTGAGAAACCAGGTTTTCATAAACAGTTGGGATCTGTGGCCAGTTTACTCAAATGCCAAAAGAGCAATGCAGTTTTCAATGAATCAATATAAGTAATCACAAAGCGATTATAATTTAATTCTCATGCATTACAGAAAGTAACTAATCACTACGGGAAGCTTCTGATTGACGAATTTATTTATCCCTAAATTGATTATTATCAAAAAAGCGCTGTTTTCCTTTTATGGACTGATGAAATTTATATCTGTACAAGCTGCCATGAGGAAAATGAGAGAAAGGTCTGTTAAAAATATTAACACCTGCATTAATATCTGTAGCCTCTTCTAGCACATACTGTGATGAAGTTAAATACTAATAGCAAACACAAACCCCTGAGAAATAATGTTGATATATATATCTCTAAACAACATTTTTATCATTGAAGAATTCCATAGCTGTACTTTCAGAATCAAACCAATCATACTTTCTAAGCCATCTGTGAACATTAGTACTCAAGTGTAAGGGACATTTTGTGAGAGGCATCTGTGTAGACTTTCAGTTTGTTAACATTCTTATGATAAGATTGTAGTCTATCCTTGCAGCCTGAATTGCAGAGCTATACAATAAAAAATACACTGGAGACTTTAATTATTAATATTCCTAATTCAAAAATACTCATTATAAGTGTTCATTTCATATACAGTAATTTCTCTACAGCTGAAGTGAGTCATGCAGATCCATTCACCTGCAGCATGTTTCCTCTCTCCCCAAGCCCAGGTCAGTGATCTCACACCAGGAGTTTTCCCAAGGATATCAGAGCTGTTTCTAAAATACTATTCAGGCTTCTGAGTGCTGGTCAGCAGGTAAAGCAGATGCTGTTATCACCACCAGAAGCAGTGGATTAAAGGCACACCTCAGTCCTGGTTTCTCACATTTCCTGTTTGGGCCTATAAACATGGCAAATTAGACACTGGCAGCTCCAGCTCTGATGTGCTGGCCAGAGAACAGCTGGGTGGATTGAGGAACTGGAATTCTTCCTGACCCTCCCTGCTCCCATTTCAGGAAATGTGCCTACAACTACTGCTCAAAGGAATCACACTGTCCCAAGTACTTAGTGAGGGCAGGAAAGCACAGTGCAGAAATAACTCCCAAGCACATATGCAAGACACAGACAATTTCTCAATTTACATAGTGAGTACAATAATAAGATAAGGCCCCCAAACAGGAAAGCCTGTGTAAACAAGATGTTATGTAAAGCTGCTGAATTCTTTAATGTGGAGAGCTGGCAAGGGTTGGTCTATTATTTAAACATCTACAAATTCAGTTTTGTTTATTATTCAGGATTAATAGTTGCTGCAGATTTTAGAGGGTATTTTGAATGGCATCCTCTGCATAGTAACAACATTGCAGTTGTTTAAAACCCTAAAATAACCCATCCCCCATTTATTTTTAACAGTGAAATCTATTCCCTCTTTTTCCTGTACACCCTCTCTTCCCATTTCTACAGCTGCCTTAGAGGGGAAGTGAATAAGCTCATCAGTATTCAGGTATTGCTAACAGGGAGGTCACCTTCTTCTGTTAAGCAACTCTCAATTTCAAACTTTAAAACCTTGCAATTAGTAATTTGACAAGGACACCAAAGTACATGACTACTTTGCTCTGACTCAGGTGATGCTTGACTAAATCAAGGGTAGTAAGAACAAGAGACATAAAACTAACAATTGTAGTAGTGTGCAACAGTGTCTTTTTGGTAAGATCAGATTCTTCTTTCTCTACTATCTTCTTTCTTCACATTTCACCTTAGGGAACAGAACTGTGAGGCAAAATATTCAGAAGCATATAAACATTTTTCTCACAACCACTGTAGGCATTTCCTGCACTGCTCTGTTTACCATGTACACAGTAGGACACTGGTTCTGTTACTATATTAGTATGTTCCAAACACTGATTTGTAAGAAGATAAAAAGTGATCTACACCTACTCATGAGTACCACTGCTTCATGTGCTGAAAATGGCCAGCAACTCCAGGAGCATTCCATTGACAGGCCAGGGATGACCCCAGTCACAGCCAGCCCCACAGGAGGCTGTGTTCTTTTGGTTCTTGAGAGGCACCACAGTAATTTTCCCATATCAATATATAACATACCAAGATATAATCCACAATTCAGGAATTGGTACTACTCTGTGTACAGCTACAGGATGGAATAGCTTGTGTCTGGTTAATAAAATAATTCTTCTACGTTTTATTCTTTTATAAGTGCAAAAGCAGGAAGAAGTCAGAGATTATTTCTGTCTAGCCTGCAACCTTCATCTCCTACCATAATAAGTGTAGTGTACTGGATCCAAAAGACCCCATGCTGAGCTTACCTTTTTAAGCATGACACTTCAGCAAGTAACAGACAAGCAACTTGTCTGTTCTGGATACCATCATTTTCCCTTCAGTCAGTGAGACTCAAAGGTGTTTTGCAGGAGTTGTTTGATGAACAGCTCAAATTAGTATGTCCTTTCCAAACACTCTTTTTGATAATTTGTCAATAGGATTCTACGGTTCAAAAGGTTCAGGTAAAAACCACAAAGGAACAAATGTGTTCTAGAATGTGTTAGTTCAAATGAATAATATCTCTGATCACTTTTTATGCAAAGGACTTTCATATGTACCATGAGATGGTACATATAATTGCCATAGTGGCAATAAGTTTTGGACAACAGATTTGCAGAGAGAAGGTAGTCATAGTGATGGCAGGGAGCAGCAGGGTATGAAAACTGCAAATATCCACAATAAATTAAAAGAAAAACCAGAGGAGTAAAATAAAGACAAAGCCCCTTCACAGTTTAAAATGTCAAACCAAATATAAATTTTAACTTTACAAGCATTAGCAACCAAAAATAAGTATAGATCTTGCTGTCAGCTTCCATGAAGGTGAGAATCTTATAAACCTTCTTTTAAAAATAAATAAATAGAAACCACTTTTCACATGCTTAGCAGAAACTCCAGCCTCAGCTGAGCAAAATTTCCTGCTGCTCCCAGCAATTGCAAGGGAGGCACAGAACCAAGCTGCTAAGAAGTGAGCAGTTGTGATCTGCTTATCCCTTCTGCACTGCTGCCTCTCGGGCAATGCTGCCTTTGCAGGCAGGCCAGGCAGTGGGGAGGCAATTGGAGGCTCAGCTATCATGCTGTTTCAATGGGGCACAGAAGCATTCATCTCTTCACTAAGAGTACTTCATCCCTTTGGTAAAAGGATGGAATTACAGCACAGAGAGAAATGGGAGACAAACAGATTTTGTCCCACTTATTTTGTCCATCTAGAACTTCAATTTCCAAACTTAATGCTGTTACATAATCCTGTAATACAGGTTTGAATGAGCACAGGTACTCATCACAGCTGCAGGTGTGAGTGCAGTAGGTCCCAGGATCTCCATCACAGACACCCTGTG